CAGTGATGGGCAAACTTGGCCCTTCCAGGCCACTTTCCTGCAGAGATGTGATCCAATCCTGATAAAACTCACCTGCCTGCAGCTTTCTAGTAGTCTTGAAGACAATGATTAGCTGGTTCAGGTGTGTTTGATTAGAGTTGGAGCTGAACTCTGAAGGAAAGTGACCTGGAAGGGCCAAGTTTGCCCACCCCTGATTTAGGGTATTGAGTAGAGTAAAAGTGTGCAATGCATCATGTTTTTTGGACGGAAGCATGGCAGTGGGTTTGCATTTAGTCACGTACTTCATTCCACCATGCATTTTTGTCTTGCTCTTATTTATTTGATTCAGATAATTGATCAACAAAACATGAGCATTACCACGCCCTTTATAACGTTTACAAATTAAACCATTTTCTTTCATAATTAACAGATTAAATTGAAGAAAAACATAGACAAATAATATAATAACAGTTAACATAAATAAAACAAAAATAAATTTTCTTAAATGGCCTCAACACAAAAATACAGGCAGTGGAATAACACAATATTAGTGTACGTCAATCCCTCAGGAATCGTGTGTCTATCTCTGATGTCACAGCAGAGCACAACGTGAGTGGAATTCATAATCATTTCGTTAAAGGAGAAATGAGATTTGAACTGATGAATAACAGTCAAATCAATCTCTACGGGAACTAGTCTGTATTGTTTTGAACTGCAAATGCGTTGTGTTATTAAAATGTTCTATATTCTGTATTTCTGGAATGAGTACTTTTTTCTTGCACTTCTTTTCTTCACGAGGGTTGATTTGGAAATCACACAGAACAGAACCTGATTTAATGTCAATTTTTTAATGTACAGGTTTTGATGCTCCAATGCCGGTTTAACATGCAGAGATGAACTGTAAGTAATGCATTTATAGGTTGAATTCCTAAAGACTATCAATACATTGACTCTGTGGTGTTAACATGACATGTGTTTTTAGAGCAGCCCGACAAAGTCACACTGACTCAACCAATGGGGTGAGTTTCTGGGCAGGACTATCTGTTTGACCAATGGACCAGTCATTTTTTGTAATGCTATTTGGAGCCACTAGTGGAGCAGAACTTATATAAATTTAAATGAACAGTGTTAAACATATTTCATCATAAACGCATGATGAACTGCATTAAAAAATAAAATCACTTTATCTTATTGTTGATTATTTTTCTCACTGGTCTCACCTGCCGTCGTTTTAAGAAGTCCAGTGCGATCTGTACATTCTGGAGTCTGTGGAAGCGCATGCGGCCCTTCTCTCGCGGCTGTGAGGACAGGAGAGAGAGAGAGAGAGAAGACATCAGTGCATGCGTCATCAGACACGGCCGAGCTCTCGGCACCAGACACTCACCGTACCGTCTCGCCTGCGGGAGAGAAACTCATGAAGCTGCGCTCATGTCTGGACACCTGAACTACTGCACATCAATGCCTAGCCAGCCTGACTAAAGTACACGAGGTTTCTTGCTAACTTCATACAGGTTAACGCTACATCATGTGATGCCTTGAAGGAACACAAGCCAAACGCAAGGTCAGAGATGCGGAGTGAGCCGAGACTGGAGCGGGAAGCAGTGAAACGGGAATAAAGCAGATGGAGAGAAAGGGAAAATCTCCATTGTCCATCTGCTCAGATGGAGTTTTCTCAAAGGTGCTCATCAAACTTACAGTTACAGTGACGTACAGCACAGTGTAGGGACACTTAAAGAGAAATGAGAATGATTGAGCAGATGATGGATGACTTATGGAGAGTCAAACCGTTTGTGTCGCCCTTTAGTGCAACGGCACAGTGAGACTGGAAGTAAAGGACTGACGTGAGTTCCATGTGTTTTGTTCACAGAATAGTAAAAGATGACGAAATGTGCTATCGATCAAAAACAAAAGAGGTTTCTATCACACGAAATAGCACTTTTCATTAAACACAAGTATGTGTACATTTGTAAATTTACGATGAGCAATAAAAGGACCCCATGAAATGTTTTGACGGGTACAGATGCCAATTTCAGTACCATAGCAAAAACTAATACTAGGCTAATAAATATAAATAAGAAGTCCTCAAACTGTTATTGAAGACAAGTAAACAGTCAGCAAAAAATTAAGACTAAATAAACAAATGACAAGCAATAGAGCGCTGCAGTGATGACAGATTTTTGTAGGCCAACCCAGAAGATGGAATCACCCTGATTCCCTTGACAGAAAACCCAACAGGATTTTTCCACTGGCTTTTGGATAATTGCAAAAATAAGTTTTTTGTTCATCATGATTACCTTCACAAATTAACACAACTAGAATTAACACAAAAAGCTAAACGTAGGTTATATCACATGACTTCAGTGCTAAGCATTCAACCATTAGGCTTCTGACAAGTCTTTCAGTCTTTAGTTTAAAAAAAAAAAAACTTTCACTGAAAGTTTGATTTAGAATAGTTTGCAAGAGCGACAACCTCTGTAGTCCCATTTAGTTACTTGCTAGCAATCACCTTTTTCAAGACAAGTAAAAGCTTTAACAAATCACAAGGGGGTATTACTGGCATATTTTATGTCGCAAAATGAAACATGAAAATATCTTGAGCTTGTGTTAAACACAGACCTTATTTCAGATGGAGCCGGAAGTGCTAAAATGCTTGTTTGTTTCCAGGTTTTGGCCTACTAAAACACGTCATCCCTGCAGCAATCCATTAGACAGATGAATACAATACAACAAAGACACAAATAAAATAATCAATGCCTTATGTTCAAGCAAACTAACAAGTTATGGACAATGAATGGCTCAAGTCATGGCTGCTGCCACTGTGTCTTGGATTTTGCATACAAAACAGCCTTTTTTTTTTTTATTGGCTTGATGCACTTTAATAACTTTTTTTAATATCAAGAACATTTGACCACAATCTGGTTAACTTTGTACAAACCGGGTATGAACAGCTTATAAAAATTCAAATAGCTGAAAATTCTGTACTGGTTTTTTCATTTAAATTGTATACCGCCCGCTTTTTCAATGCATTATTCAAGTATAATTCCCTTTCCTTTCCTTAAAAATTATTCAATAAACAGTAACAAAAAAAAAAGTTAAAATCATGTTGACATCATCATTGCTTAATAACTATATATCAGGCATATATGCACATATCATCACTTAAAACAAAATTTGAATTTGTTTAGTCTAAGAAAAAAAATGAGATATGACACTGAGCCAGAGACGTTGTCATCAATTTGAAGCTAGCAAACAAAAAAAATACTGAAAGCCACAAAGCTTTGATTTCATGGGGTCTTTATCACACTCTTGAAGCGAAAGGAACTTGAATCAGGACTTTAGTTCACAGCTCAAGCTTCTGTGTCTTGAGAAATAACCAAGCTGGCATTCTAGAGCACTCGCAGCAACCCCAGAAGGCAATATTCAGCGATGAGGCAGATGCTATTTACCCATCCCTGTCACTTCAACCTCACTATCTGGTGAATCTGCAAAGATCTGGAAAGCCCCAGATGTCTACATGCCTGAGTTCTCTGGGTTTGGCACTCCAGTTAATACACACAGCACACTCCTGTTACGAGGGGGCAGGAGGACACGTGTCCACACCTACCCCCTTATCCTCATCATCATCCTCATCATCATCGTGGTCACGTCCATGCCGCTCAAGCGCGCATGCGTCAGCCGCACTCACCAACCGTAACGTCTTCAGAAAATCACGCTCCCTTGGCTTACCGGCGGGAACGTGAGCACGAGAGGGAGACACACACACAGACACAGACACAGATGGACACGTGAGAGATGGACAGAAGAAGAAAATGAGAAGGACAGGAGACAAGGAGGAGAAGAAACAGGGTGTCACCAAAAGAAAGGGGGCACTTCTCTCTCAGATCAATGCGATCAGCTGCCCAAATGAAGCACTCACATCATGGAGGTGACCGGACAAGCTTCTGGAGGAATTCTCAGTCAAATCAACCTTAGTCACTCAGAGCTGTAACAGAGTCGCTTTGGGGAAAAGAATCTTCTAAATGAATCTAAATGAACTGTAATGCCAATCATTTGATCCAGATTAAAACAAATCAAATATAGAAAATTAATTTTTTCCTCTGGATTAATTTCATATGGATATAATGAAAGAGTGCAATAAATGTGACATTTTGTAAAATGGGAGATTTCTAACCAAAGTGTTTTATTTTTAACAGAAGCTTCCATAATTTGAGTCACTGTTTCGGATGATTTACATTGTGTGCTTTTGTGCTTTCTTTTGAACAGCATGTACACTTCATTACAAGTCTGACAAACAGCTGAATCTTCAAATGAATGTTGACGGTCTCATGAAGGTTTCCTATGAAGTGTACAGTGTAAGTATTGTTCTTGAGTTCCCTGAGTTTATTTAATGACCCTATTAAATTGTTTGACAAACACAATTTGTGTTGACTTACTATTAGACAGGAAGTTGGGGATGGACTTATTGAGTTTTTTTTTTTTTTAAGCCAATGGTCTGTAGTTGTCATAGCCCAGTAAACCCATGGCTAGAACACCGTACTGTCACTCTTACTATTTCAGATGATAACTGGATAACCATTCTGAACAAAGTCATGATTTTACGTTTGCTGCATGCTATTGCTAGTCCGTAGCAGGCAGTATTAGGGGAGGCACTTTCTCATTGTAGACAGCACTTTATTGCACAAACAAAAAAATGTGAATATGCCTCTCTGTACTAGATGACCCTTTTTGAAAAAGGTGGTATATTCAGTGTTTTCACGTGACGTCACACCCTTACAGGATGGAGGGCAAAACAAGGCTTTCCTCCACTGACCGCCAGTCATTTTTACAAGGTTTGTAGTAATGTTTTAAGACAGTGATATTAAAAGGCCAAATTCAGTATAAACCTTATTGATAATGCATACTTTGCACAGGCAAGCAGATGAACCCAGAATATAAACGCAATGCACAAAGTTTCACATTAAGTGTTTTCCCATAAAAAATCATTATAAAGAAAACACCATTAAGCGCATTGATTGAACATAGGCTCATCTGCTTGCCTATATGAAGTATGCATCATCAATAAGGTGTATACTGAATTTGATCTTTTCATATCACTGTTTTAATAGATTAAGGCACTTTAAGCATTTTTCACATTAAATGTTTTAGAATGTCCCGCTGTTTTTAGTGATTGAAATATTGCAGCGAGTGCTTTATATGGATTGCAAATGGCCAAAACTTGCATTTTGTTCACTTTTTTTTCTTTTTTCATATTTCCCAGACAAGAAAAACTTACATTTTATATTTGTTTCTCTGATCAAAGTTTATTGTGTAAACTTTTGGCCTTAAAAATATATATATTACATGTAATCGCAGTTCTATTAGAACACAGATTCACCAAAATCTGAGTGACTTGTAAAATGTGAACTGCATATTGTAAGCTGCTGCCATGTGTTTGTTTGCACAGTGTGGGAACTACAGCACCTCTGATACTGAATGAGAATTCCTCCACAGCTCATTGCACAACACAGTACACAACTGGACTATAATTTGAATTTTTTTTCTTTTTTCATATTTCCCAGACAAGAAAAACTTACATTTTATATTTGTTTCTCTGATCAAAGTTTATTGTGTCAACTTTTGGCCTTAAAAATATATATATTACATGTAATCGCAGTTCTATTAGAACACAGATTCACCAAAATCTGAGTGACTTGTAAAATGTGAGCTGCATACTGTAAGCTGCTGCCATGTGTTTGTTTGCACAGTGTGGGAACTACAGCACCTCTGATACTGAATGAGAATTCCTTCACAGCTCATTGCACAACACAGTACACAACTGGACTATAATTTGAACATATATTCATAATGCAAAACGCCTATATGAATAGTTCATTGTACACTAGTGTGTAAATAAGTAAATGCATTTTCACAGATTACACTATTAGCACATGTGTTTTAGCTGCTGTAAAGCATGAATGTGCAGGTTCTGGTTAAGTCACTTTTAGCAAAGCTGATCAGTGTGTGAGTGGCTGCTGAATTAGTAACACACACACACACACACACAGATGTGGACTGGTGTGGATGGTGAATCTAAGATGCCCCCTTCAAAAACACTGTGATGTTACAGCGAGTGACAGCACACATGTTCAAGTATTCCGCTTCAAGACTGCTTAAACATTGAAAACACTTCTCAGTATGTTTCTGACACAAACAGCTGACAGCTGAAACAGAGCAATACTCACCAGTGTCTCACCGGACAACACCTCCAGAAGGGAGATAAGGTTATGTCCATCTCGCAAATCCTCATACAGGTCATTCATCTGAGTGACTTGTAAAATGTGAGCTGCATACTGTAAGCTGCTGCCATGTGTTTGTTTGCACAGTGTGGGAACTACAGCACCTCTGATACTGAATGAGAATTCCTTCACAGCTCATTGCACAACACAGTACACAACTGGACTATAATTTGAACATATATTCATAATGCAAAACGCCTATATGAATAGTTCATTGTACACTAGTGTGTAAATAAGTAAATGCATTTTCACAGATTACACTATTAGCACATGTGTTTTAGCTGCTGTAAAGCATGAATGTGCAGGTTCTGGTTAAGTCACTTTTAGCAAAGCTGATCAGTGTGTGAGTGGCTGCTGAATTAGTAACACACACACACACACACACAGATGTGGACTGGTGTGGATGGTGAATCTAAGATGCCCCCTTCAAAAACACTGTGATGTTACAGCGAGTGACAGCACACATGTTCAAGTATTCCGCTTCAAGACTGCTTAAACATTGAAAACACTTCTCAGTATGTTTCTGACACAAACAGCTGACAGCTGAAACAGAGCAATACTCACCAGTGTCTCACCGGACAACACCTCCAGAAGGGAGATAAGGTTATGTCCATCTCGCAAATCCTCATACAGGTCATTCACATGCTTTCGGACCTGAAACAAAGTGGAGAGAAAGAAATATTGAAAAAAAACGTGTGAAATAGTGAAAAATTTTTTCCTGGATAGACATTTTGTCACCTGAGCAATCAGTTTGTTCTTAAACAACATTATAATCTATTAAACACACTGTACTTTTATCCATCACAGCCTCATTTCATTCTTGTCAAAAATTAAATAAGGTGATACCCTGAAGGTCTACAGGCCCTCTTATTGTAATAATAATAAATTAATAATAATACATTTTATTTATAACACACTTTATGTTTAAACAAAATCTCAAAGTTCTACAAATAAAAAAAATTAAAAAAATAAAGCTCTGGTAAAAAGGTGGGTTTTAAAGCCACATTTAAAATCATCCACGGTCTGTGAAGTCCTCAGATGGTCCGGGAGAGCATTCCACAGTCTGGGAGCGGCTGAGCAAAAAGCCCGCTCTCCCATGGTACGGAGCTTAGTTCTAGGGGGTTTCAGGAGATATGTTGAAACAGAACGGAGGGGATGTGTAGAGGTTTGTAGAGTAATAAGTTCCTTGAGGTAGTGGGGAGCATCCCCATGAAAGCACTGGTAGGTGAGAAGGGAAACCTGGTACTTAATCCTGAGTGAGACAGGAAGCCAGTGGAGTGATTTAAGGATAGGGGTGATATGGTCATACTTCACCCCTGTGCACCCTCATCAGGATCCTAGCAGTGCTCCTCTGAATGTACTGCAGCTTCTGAAGGTTTTTGTCAGGAATCCCGATGAGGAGGATTAGAGGAGACAAAGGGATGGACCAGCTTTTCCGCATCTGCAAAGGTCAGTGTGGGATGGAGTTTAGCAATGTTCCTGAGATGAAAGAAGGAGGTCGTGCACAGATGTTTGATGTGAGCCTCATAGGTCAAATGACAGTCGATTTTAACACCCAGGTTGGTAACTGATGTTGAAAATGGAATATCCTGACCAGAGAAGGTAATGCTGGTAATGACAAATTTCCGAAACTTGTGTGGGGTGCCTACCAGGATAGCTTCAGTCTTGGAGCTGTTTGGTTGTAAGAAGTTTTGCTTCATCCACACCTTTATCTCCTCCAGGCAGGTGGTCAAAATGGAGGATGGCAGGGCAGCAGAGGAGGTTGAGTTGATCCTGAGGTAGAGTTGAGTGTCATCAGCATAGCAGTGTAATGAAATTCCATGCCGGCTGATGACACGACTGAGAGGAAGCATATAGAGGATAAACAAGGTGGGGCGAAGCACTGAGCCTTGAGGGACACCACAAGTGACATTGTGTGTCAAGGATTCAGCCTCTCCCAAGGCAACATGCTCAGTTTTCCAAGTGAGGTAGGATGAAAACTAGTTGTAGAGTCAGAGAGACTGATGGTGAAGAATAAACGGTGAAGAAGGATGTTGAGGTCCACAGTGCCAAATGCTGCAGTCAAGTCCAGGTGGATGAGAAAAGATGGGAAACCAGCATCTGCCAACATCAGCAGGTCATTTGTGACCCTGACCAGAGCTGTTTCCGTGCTGTGGCCGGGGCGGAAACCAGACTGGAATTTCTCAAACAGGTTGTTTTGTTTTAAATTGACCTGAAGCCGTGCAGCAACTACTTTTTATAGCACTTTAGAAAGAAATGGAAGGTTGGAGATGGGCCTGTAGTTGGCAAGTACCACTGGGTCTAAGGTGGGTTTTTTGAGAAGTGTTCTGATGACAGCAGTTTTCAATGTAGATATAATATGGCCAGTCTGGAGGGAGTGGTTGATGACCTTAGGGATCAAGGGACTTATAACACAGAGGTTCGATTTGACCAAAGCTGTAGGAAAGGGGTCCAGAGCACAGGTGGACAGTTTCATCTTTCTAATAATATCCTCAGCCTCTCACTGTGAGAAGTCAGAGAAACAGCATAGAGGTTGGAAAGTCCCAGACTGTGGGTCGACAGTTGGGGCAGGTAAGGCAGAGGAGCTGGATAAGAGGGAGTGAATGGCAACTACTTTTTCACTGAAAAAGTGATAAAGGTGTTGCAGCTCACCTCTGTAGCTTCTGGATGAGAAAGAATTTGCGGTTTAAGAGTGTGATTAATAGTAGAAAACAGTTGCTTGGAGATACCAGTGCAATTATTGACAATATTAGAGTAAAAATGTGATTTTGCATCTCTCAAGGCCCTTGCATAGGCCTTCTGATGCTCTTTGTAGACTTGCCTATGAACAGTGAGTCCTGTGACCTTGAGGCGCCGCCACTCAACGGCACACCCAGCTGTCTTCATCTTCCGCAGTTCACAGGTGTACCAGGGGTTGATCTTTGTCAAGTCCCTAAAGCATATTTGGCACTTTCTTTGGTGTGGGAAAAGCGAAATAACAGCTCCATTGAGATGGCCTTGTGGTGAGAAACACCCAAATCATACACCAGAAGATTACTAATGGGATCAGAATTTGAGATTACCAAATCCAGTATGTGCCCCCTAGAATGTGTGGGGATATGAACATGTTGTTGGAGGTTAAGAAAATCAAGTAGTTGCAGAAACTCAGCTGCAAAATGGTAGGAGGGGGTGTCTTTGTGAATATTGAAATGTCCAAGTATTATAACGTTAGCAGAGGTGGTGCAGAGTGTAATAAAAAGGACATGCATCTCTGAGATGTACACTGAGATTAGTTTAGGGAGTCAGTAGATAAGGAGTATTATCATGGGGATGGGGGGGGCAAGACATTCAAATGAGGACAGAGTAGGCAGAGGGAGGGGAGACAGCTCCAATTGCTGTCGGTATATTACGCTAGGCCACCACCACGACCAGTACTGAGGGCTTTCTCCAGGTAGCTGTAGCCGGGGGGACAGACCTCATTTAGTGGTGAGTAGACCTCTGGCTGGTGCCCTGTTTCTGTTAAGCACATAAAGTCTAAACCCTTGTTCATAATGTGATCTTGTATGAAAGATGATTTATTTGTGAGAGATTGCGTATTTTGAGAGATTGTTCTATTTTGAACATGGATGAAGTAGTGAATTTCTGTAGAGGTCGTAGTACACCGGAATCCACTCCACGTTTCCTGTCCAACTTAGTGTGCAGAGATCTCATGGTGTTTCCCGTATTACTAACACAGAGAGCGACATTGCTCTGATGACGCAGCAGACGTGCCACAGTGGTCCAGATGGAAGGAATGGCTAAAGGAGAATGGCCAGGCTGATGGTAAACAAGCTTTTGACGGGAACTTCTATGGGTGTAACATGGTCGGAGCAGGAGTCCAAGTCCTTTATGGCTGCAATGCACTTTGGAATGGTACGGTTGTTAAGATTCAGCAGCTGCGGGATACAATACTCGAGCTTCATGCCGAAAGGGTTTACCTGGAGCTAGCCATTAGCCAAACATAGAGATGGAAAACTCTTCAGCACAGCAAGAAGATGGCCCACATGAAAGTAGAGATAGCGGTCCTAGGCTCGAGACTAAACCGCAGCAAGACAGCTGAGTAGCTGCCCAAGTATACCTCGCAGTAGCAGTACTGAACGATGGAAAAATCAAGGTGAAATCCAGATGAGAGGATAGCAGTAATTGAGTAAAAAGCCTTCAGTTTAGTAACAATCCATGCAAATCCTCAAAGAGCAAAAAACTGATTAGACGGAAAAACAATTGAGCGATGGAGAAGTGACGGAGAAGTGGTGGAGAAGCGGTGAACAACAAACGCCAACATCCTCTCCCATTCCACCAGACGCCAAGAACCTGGCATCTTATCAGATACACATTACAATGCAGGAAAATGTATGACAATTTTGTCATATTCTCTTAGCAACTCGAAGGGCATCCTTTAATGGGGAATTATATCCAGCAATCAACAATATCTATAATAGCACAGAGATGTGACACTCCCATCACTGTGGTTTCTATCCTTCAGAAGACAAAGGACCAGATCCACCCATTGTATCTGTAACGGGGCTGACGAGGCGTGAGACGTGCGGATCCATATGCAAGCTTTATTAACATGAGAGGAGGTCAGTGTTATATAGTCAGTGAGTGATATGAAACAGCTGTGTGCAATCAGTGCTGTGTGCAATCAGTGCAATGAATGATGGGATATGTAGTCCGGGGTGATATGCAACAGTGTGTAGTGCGAGAGTCAATGAAAATGGAAAGGGTGACCTCTGATGGCTAGCAGACGGAAGTTCATGGACCGGATTCGTGACAGTATGACAGTGACTGAGACACCAGCACACCTTGCAAAAGGCCTGTTTAAACACATCTGCAGTTTTGACCAATGCCAAACCAGCTCATATCTGCACTCCAAAAGCACAGATGCTTTGATTAATGTTGTTGAAGTTCTCCAAATTCAGTATCACAACTCCTGTCTCAACAATGACACCATATTGCTCATCATCTTCAGTGCTCGGGAAACCATCAGTCATTGCCTCTTGCCAACAAGCACTCAGGAATGATGTCTGATGTTGCGAGAGTATGTTTTTGAGGAATTGTTTCACAATGAATTATCCCCCATGCTGTGTTGAAAGCCATTTTATTCCTCATACACGTACCACTGTAAACATTAACGCTCCCATGAGACGCTGGCCAGTGACAGACATCTCATCTGAAGGCCTTTCACCTCTGCAGCTCCAGAAGTGTGAACACTGCTTTTGTCTTGAATACCGCGCCGCTGAAGTCACCTCTCTGCCTTTCTGACCTGCTTTCACACAGGTCCTCTGGTTCATAATCCCCAGCGAGCACAGCTGCATGACTAAAATAGACGTTTAACTTGGCTTCTGGGTCAGATCAGTCTGTTACACTTGACTATGCATTGCTAGTCATCACCAAGTTGAAAAAGTGACCTCCACACTGTAATATTTATCTACTAAACGTATAAAAAATAGTGTTTAAAGTTAATGTAACAGACATAGTCATTGCTGTACTGCCATATTATTCATTACAACAATTTCATTACAACTTGAATTTTATATATATATATATAAAATATCCTCTGAATCCTTTATTCAAGTCATGTAGAACATTCCATTCCAGAGTTAACTATAATAATCCTCCATATCAATTTATCCAACATGTTGTTACTTGCCTTTTTTCTTTATGGTGAAATATTTTGCTACTTTATTCACAGTAATCACAATCAAAAGCATTTATGAAGTAATTTATCTGATTGGAATAAATGTGTCTTAAATAAACAGAAAATCAAGCTGAAGTGATTCTACTGGACACGCTGTTACTTGCCATCTTTGATAAGTGTGTTGCTTAGGAAAACCTGAAAACAAAACATTTGCACAAACTTTAAAAGGTAGTTGGCCCTAATTTTGAAAATTTGAAATTAAAACCTGTTATTCACAACAAAATGAGTTCTGATACTGAGGTCTCTGCTAAAACTGTCCTGGAGATCACTTCATTTCATCCAGGAAACAGTATATTCATGTAATGTTCAGGTGCATCAGCATGTGTGCTTCACGGTTAATAAACAGATAATGTGTTCTATCATTTATTATAAGAGCTTTTTTAAACCAGAGGTGACTGCAAATGCCCTGAAGACACTGGCACACCTGAAGAATTAATGAAGCGTGTGTGGAGTTGCCAGATCCCTCCCAGGCAGAACCGCTGCATATGTTAACACCCTCCATTTCTGAGTTCATAGTTTGTATATTTAGATACCTATAATTTAGATTATAGCATATTAGGAAAGGATTCTCTTTCTACCACCAACAAGCGCCTTACTAATGTGCACTGATACACGACCCCATGTAACGCTATGAAAACTACAACAGACCTACCTTTAAGAGGTGCTGATTTATCCATTTTGTAAAGGTCTTTTTCTGGACTCTGTCTCTTTCATCTGAAAAACAAGAGGGATTGATGTTAGAAATGCTTTCAGACTGTTCCAAAATAATTTCTAGCATTGACATTATATCTAGTAATATTTTTTCTTAAAATAATAATTCCGCCCAAACTGTTCAATGTCCATAGCTTGTTAACTAGAAAAAAAATAACTCTGGAGGAGTATTTTTTATAAATATATGCACCATATTTCCACTACATGCACTACATGTTCATTATATTTTTACTTAACCTGTTGTTTCCATAATTGAATGTATGATTTAAAAAATCTGTCGTTTTTATTATATCTTTTAAAGTTGTATTTAAATGTTCATATTTCAACAACAAATTAGAGTACAAACATGATTATATCATTAAAATGTTGATATAAAAACTGCCTTATGTGCAGTTTACATGTCAGTTATTATTTGAGTGTTAATAGATTATTAAATAAAGTTTATTTTTGGTTTCAATTTTTGGCTAAATTAAAATAATTTTGGTTTTGGTGTTTCAGTAGCCATTCACACTAGGGATGCACCGATACCTATCGGTATCGGGCCCGATACTGAGCTCCTGTACTCGTACTCGTACTCGTTAAAATGCCCCGATACCAAACGCCGATACCACACAGCATGTGTTAAGTCCCATATTCAGACAATGAAACACCGACAACAGAACAACAGACAGCAGAATGGAGTTATTAGAGATTAAGGATGTCTACGAAGTATATGTATGCAATGAATATAAAACATTCAGTATTAATGCCTGTATAGCTGATGTG